CCCAGTCTCCATCACCCCTCCGCCTGCAGGACCCGCCTCCCCCGCCCGGTTACCTGGTAACATGTGGTGGACAGGCGTGGCTATGTTGATGTCCTGGAGGTGTTTGAGGGTCTCCGTGTGGAACAGGCGCAGCGTGGACCCGGAGGTGAAGGCGATCCAGATCCCCACGCCAGCAATGGCCATGTGCGAGACCACCATGCCCTCCTCCTGGTGGGCCTCCAGCTGGCTCTGCGGGGTCAGGGAGAGGCGATGGGCGGGCATCGGCGGGCAGGGGGCCAGGCTGAAACCCGCCTCTGACCCGCGTGGAGCTCTGGGTCCTGCAGCTGACCTGCCCGTGGCGTGTCCTGCTGGAGCCGAGTCCCTGACCAGCACTCCCAGGATCTCCAGCCGGGACCCTCCCTCCAAAGCCAGACGCTCCGAGCAGGTGGGACACACATTAGCCACCAAATGTGTTTTCATGCTTACTGCCCAGAGCAGATCAAAGCCTTCCTGAACTTCACGCTGCTTTCCAGGTACCAAGGCTGAGAAAGCTGCCCTTCGAAGGCACAGCCATGGCTCAGGGGAGAGGAGGGAGCGAGAGGGACGCCTGAGAACAGTCGCCATTGCTGAGGGGGGCGGACCGAGGCCCACCAGTCCCCCAGCGCCTGAGCAGGGCAGTCCCTTCCCGCTCTGCACCAGCTGTCCTGTCCTCCGCGTCAGCACCGCTCCTGGCCTGGGCCCGGGGGCACCTCCGCTCCTCCAGCAGACCAGCCGCCCGTGTCCATCCTCATAGCCCTGCCTGGGAAGGCCCCAGTAAGTCTGCTGTGTCCGGCTCCAAAGCTTCTGAAGTAGCGATCCCGGGCCTGAACCCCCCGAGGCACCTCCTGCTTCCCAGTAACTTGAGGGCAGTGGGTCTTGTTAAGAAAATAATTAAAATAGAATAAGCATCCTAAGAGGGTCTCTGAGAATAGTCGGAGGAGCCGGGGAGGCAGGGCCTGTGCAGCCCTGGGCCTTCGTTCGGTTCTCAGAGCTGCTAAGTCTAAGTCGCTAACCAGCTGGGACACTGAGCTCCAGGCAGAGCCACAAACACCCACGGCAGCTGCCCTCTGGACACACGTGGACTTGACCACCGCTGTGGGTTTGGTCCCCTCATCTGCATATGGAGCTAGCCAATCCCGGGTCACCAGCAGCCATCCTCATCTGCATATGGATATGGAGCTAGCCAATCCCTGGTCACCAGCAGCCATCCTCATCTGCATGTGGAGCTAGCCAATCCCTGGTCACCAGCAGCCATCCTCATCTGCATATGGAGCTAGCCAATCCCTGGTCACCAGCAGCCATCCTCATCTGCATATGGATATGGAGCTAGCCAATCCCGGGTCACCAGCAGCCATCCTCATTTGCATGACGCACACTTGGTGGGCTCCCTTCCTGACCTGCCTCTGTTCCCCCCAGAGCCCAGTTTGCATCTCTGGGATCACAATTCTCTTGCTCAGCTACATGCTTCCTTCGTCGCGACAGCCTGAAGTTTGGTTTGGCTGACAGGTCAGCGTCAGGAGGCGCGTAGCACAGTGTGCCCGGCACAAACGCCTGCCGCGGTGACCTCCGCCTCCACCACGAAACACCGGGGCTTTCCAGGCAGAAAGTGTGACTCAGACCCAAGGAGCGAGCGTCACAGGCCGGGCACCAGCCCCGAGAGACCCGGCGGGGGGAGGGGGGGCAGGAGGACCCGGGGCTGCCGAGGCAACTGGACCCCCCACCCCACTGTCACCACAGGGACCCGCCTTCGGTGGGGCTTCCTCGGGGGGAAGAGGTCTGAAGGCCTCAGTTCACCCTCTGCCTCCAACCTCCCCCCTTAACCGCCGGCCACGTGACCTGAGAACACACGTTCCTACCATCCGTCCCGCGTGGGAGTCCTCCACGCCGCACCCTGCACGCGGCCGGCGTGTTCAGAGGAAACGTGCACACACATCTCCCAGGAAAGAGGCCGCCTCGGGGTCACGTCTCCAGCTCGGCCCACAGCCGCCCGGGGGAGGCGGCCCCATGGGACCCGTGACTGAGGCGATGGACGGGGAGCTCCCTGCACTGGGTGAGCACCCTGACCACTCTTCCCCCGCACCTCCTGCCTGGCTCGCAGACTCGCCCTACACCGCAGGCAAGAGAAACGCGCGCAGTTCCTCCAGGAGCCTGCTTTCCTCATCCGACACACCCCTCCTGCTCATCCCGCCCGCACACCCGGCCCCCGGGGGGAGCGACAGGTGCAGCGCCCAGGCCCACGCGGGGTCGGAAGGTCTGCGGCTGTAATACCTGCTGAGCACGGGGCTTTGCAGGTGACGGAGCCAGTCCCAACCCAGACACCCCTCCACGTTTCCACGGCACCCACACCCCACGCGCCTGCGACTTCCTCCGGCCGGACCTTGGGAAATGCAGGAGCCCTTTGTGCGGGCTGAGGGCGGCAGGGTGACCATTTCAGCCCGAGGCGGGGGCGTGCCTCCTGCTTGCTCAGAGCCTTGGTTTCCGGTTTGGAACCTGGAACTCTGGGCCACGGCGTCTCTCAGTCCTGCCACCCTGAGCCGTGGGCCCCGAGGCCTCCGGGAGAACGCAGGGCACGGGCTGGGTGACCGGTTAGGGCCCATCTGTCTGCTGGCCGGGGCTGCTGTCCTGTCCTCTGCGCAAGAATTTAATTCTTATCGGGAAGAGCCCTCGGCTTGGAAATCTCTGCCGCCTCAGCCTCAGCAGCTACTTCATCTTGTCCGTTTCCCTCATGGACAGAGGGGGGAGGAGCTCTTTCCTCTCTCTCCTCTGTCCTCGGGGAGGAACCCGCTCGCTCCTCTGTCCTCGGGGAGGACCCACAGAGCAGACACCACTGGCAGGAGCGAAGGGCTTCCATCCCAAGCCGCCCAGCGAGACCACCCGGAAACGTCCGCTCCAGGCACCGGACCTGCGGAGCCCACAGCTGCCAGGACCAGAGGCGATTCAGTTAGGACGGAGCCCTGTCCGCACTCCAGCTGTAGGTTTTAAGGAAAGGCATTCCTGAGCTCCGGGCAGGAGCCCTGGGAGGTGGGAGAGAAAGAAGGCCCCTCCCGCCATGAAACCCAGGACACGTGTAGCTGTCACCACCTGGCATCTCCCCACCTGACAGGGCGCGGTTTCCCGCCCACCCCCTGGGCTCGGATAACCCGACGGGCCCAGCACCTCAGGGTGGTGCGCTCAGTGCTGCCAAAGACGGGGGACAGAGCCGCCGCACCTGCACCCCCACCTGTGACACACTAATCGCTTCGGCGTAGGCAAGTCACATGAAGACATTTAAGCCTCCGGCTTCTCCCAATAGCACTGGCCCCTTGCATCCGCTCAGCCCATGCCCTCTGCTCCCGCCCCACACAGCACATTCCGGAACGTTCCCCTCAGCACCCGCCCCTCCCCCCATCCCAGGTGGAGACGCATCCCGAGGGGAGGTCTGTGGAGCTGCACCAACCTCTCACTGCTGTTCCGCCCTGGCCAGTTTGCTCGGTGGTTAGAGCGCCCGCCCATGGAGCATGGGGTCTCCGGTTCGATTCCCAGTCAAGGGCATGTACCTCCGTTGTGGGCTGGATCCCCGGTCCCCGGTGGGGGCATGGGCGGGAAGCAACCAGTCAATGTGTGTCTCTCAAATCTCTCTCTCTCTCTCTCCTCTCTCCTCTCTCCTCTCTCCATAAATCAATGGAAAAATATCCTTAGATGAGGGTTTAAAATAAACAAAACGCCACTTCCATCGAAAGCTAACTTCCCACAGGCCCTCGAGGACGTTATGTTCACACCGAGCGCCGTCTTCACAGGAAACGGCGACAGTGACTCAGGGCCAGTGGCTAGACAGGATTGTGGAACTTCCTGGGCATCCCCTTCCTACGGAGTCGGGAGGAATTCCCAGCCTCGGGCAGGGCGAGGGCGCTGCTGCGGGAGGGAGGCCCGACCTCCAGCCCTGGAGGGTGTTGGGGACCGGACCCTCCTGGGGGCACCTCCCCACTCGGCACCGCCTCTCCCACCACTCACCCCCACGGCGTGCGTCTCCACGCTGACGATGGAGACCTGGCCTCCCGAGGCCGCCCACAGGGTGTCCTCCGCCACCAGCAGACTCCGGACCGGCAGCACGCCCAACTTTATCACTTTCTGAGGCTCGGAATCCCAGGATCCGTCTTAAAAGGAAGCATTGCTGTTAATGTCATTCGGATGCAGCGAGCCGGGCACAGGACCGGGGAGCAGGGTCCCGGACGATCCTGAAGAGCAGAGAGCCCCAGCTTCAGCTGTGGCCCGCGGCTCAGGTGGGCTCTGGGGGTCTCGAGTTCCGGGTGGGCACCGTTGTCATGGCAACCTGGTCAGCCGGCCGTGCCCACCCCAGCACAACCGCTTGGTGTGTCCCGGCACGTTATTTACCCTAAGCCTCAGTTTCCTCCTCAGCCTGAAAGGCTGTGGTGAGGATCGACAATAATGCAATTAAAAGCCCAGCACAGGCCTGGCAGACAGACGTTCCATGAATACCACCATCTATGTGTATAAAAGGCCAATATGCAAAGTGTCCCCTTGGGAGTCTGACCGGGAGAACGGGAGTTCGATCATTCGCTATGACCTGCGCTGACCACCAGCGGACAGCGTGGACCATGGCGGGTGACCAGCGGTGGCGAGGGAAGGAGGAGGCGAGGAGGCGGGGAGGCGGGGAACCTGATCGGCCCTGATGGCCCTGATCGCCGGCCAGGCCTAGGGACTCTGCCTGTGCATGAATTTCGTGCACCGGGCCTCTAGTTTACAATAATCATATATGTATGACGTGACTCTCATCATAAAAGGAATTGCACCCAAAATAATTCGGCAAATGTTTAAACACCCCCATTCCTGCTTTTATTTAAAAATATGCCTTGATATGGACTGTATTACCGGGAGAAAACACATCTCCATGGAAAATGATGAATTTGCTTCAGTCTTGAAACACAGAGAATAGTAAGTATTCTGGCTTCAAAATAGTGCCAGAGACCTACCCATGAGGTGTGTCACCTGGTGTATGTGGTGAGAGCCAACAGACAACGTGAAGAGCAATAAAAAATTACGTAAGCCCGGCTGGTGTGGCTCAAGGGTTCAGCGTTGACCTATGAACCAGGAGGTCAGGGTTCGATTCCCCGTCAGGGCACACGCCCAGGGTGAGGGCTCGATCCCCAGTAGGGGGCGTGCAGGAGGCAGCCCATCAAGTCTCACTCATCATTGATGTTTCTATCTCTCTCTCCCTCTCCCATCCTCAATAAAATATATTTTATTGATTTCAGAGAGAGGAACGGAGAGGGAGCAAGGGATAGAAACATCAAAGATGAGAGAGAATCACTGATTGGCTGCCTCCTGGTGGGGATGGAGCCCAAAACTGGGGCATGCCCGACCTGGAATCAAACTGTGACCTCCTGGTTCATAGGTCGACACTCAACCACTGAGCCACACTGGCCGGGCAGGGTGGGGAACCTTTGTTCTGCTGAGGCCCATGTGGATATTCATAACATCATGTGTGGGCCATACAAAATGATCAAGTTAAAAATGAGCCTGCTCTATGTGGTCAAACATTTAATTAACTCGCCCCAATGCCTTGATAGGACCAGACCAAATGATTTCATGGGCCTTATATGGCCCGCAGGCCAGACGTTCCCCACCCACCTGATAGGAACAGGAGGCCAGGACCCTGGCGGCCCTGAGTCACGGGGAGAAGGCGCCCTCTGCAGGCAGCAGCGGCCCCGACAGACCCCACACCTGCGGCACCCGACCTAGGCCTCCCAGTCCCTGAACCACGCGGCTGCGTGTCTGTGGCATTGGTTGTGGCAGCCGCCTTCCCGCGTGACCCCGGGCCTTATATGGCCCGCAGGCCAGACGTTCCCCACCCCACCTGATAGGAACAGGAGGCCAGAGCCCTGGTGGCCCTGAGTCATGGGGAGAAGGCGCCCTCTGCAGGCAACAGTGGCCCCGACAGACCCCACACCTGCGGCACCCGACCTCTGCCTCCCAGCCCCTGAACCACGCGGCTGCGTGTCTGTGGCGTTGGTTGTGGCAGCCGCCTGCCCGCGTGACCCCATCACCTTGTGCTTTTGCGTAGACGGCCACGGCCCCATCGACCAGGCCCGCGTACAGGTTGCGCGGCGTGCAGGCCAAGCTCATGACCGTGGCCTTGTCGGGGGTGAAGAACTGCTGCAGCCGCACTTTCTTGGCGCCTGGGCTACTTTTGTAGACGGAGATGCTGGAAGAGAAGGGCAGGCCATGAGCACACCTGCCCGCATGCACAGAGCCCGCGCCGTGGCCACAGCCCGGGCACAGCTTTCCACGGGACACCCACCCCCACTCCTTCCAGAAACACAAGCTGTGTCTTAAAGACTCTACCACTGTGACCTCTTTCTTGCAATTTAAAGGAGAAATGTAGCTCAGCTGGTGTGGCTCAGTGGTTGAGCGTAAACCAGCGGTTCTCAACCTGTGGGTCGCGACCCCTTTGGCGGTCCAACGACCCTTTCACAGGGGTCGCCTAAGACCATCCTGCATATCAGCTATTTACATTACGATTCATAACAGTAGCAACATTACAGTTATGAATTAGCAACGAAAATAATTTTATGGTTGGGTCACAAGATGAGGAATTGTATTTAAAGGGCCAGAAGGTTGAGAACCACTGGCATAAACCTATGAACCAGGAGGTCACAGTTCGATTCCTGGTCAGGGCACATGCCTGGGTTGTGGGCTCGATCCCCAGTGGGGGTGTGCAGGAGGCAGCTGATCAGTGATTCTCTTTCCTCATTGATGTTTCTCTCTCTCTCTCTCTCTTCCTCTCTGAAATCAATAAAATCCTCTTTCATAAAATGAAGTAGATGAGAAATATTGGGCTTCAAAGAAACTAGTCCCTCCGATGTCGGCTGGGAATTCGTGTCAGGAGCCACGTTAGCTTTCCTGAGGCGTGTCCGTGGGCATCCATGACAGCGCAGACTGTGGCTGTTTGTCCCCAAACACACGTGGGACCCGCACCACCTCCACTTTCCCGCTCGCACCTCACAGACGGACGCGACCGCTGCCTCGCACTGGCCCAGCGATGGGACTATGACCAGCGATGGGACTGTGATCGGGGGCGGGACTGGGACCACGGGGGGACCCACCTTCCTTCCTCGG